AGAGCAGGAAATCAAATCCCTCCCCAGACGAGGAGGAACAGCCCAGGCAAAAGTGTTTGTTCTCCTGAGCCTCAGTTTCTTCAGCCGCGAAATGGAAATGATCCTTTCCGCCTCACAGTGCCTGGCATATAATAATCCTCCAATATGTGAGCTTTGTTTTTATTACTGAATTTTTTTATTTAAATAGAAGGTTAATGGGAACAGTAAAGTTGGGTACCAGCGCCAGCCGCACACACGGACAGCGCCTCCACCTCCCTCCGCAGTGGGGCGCTGTGGGCGCAGAGACCGGGCTACTCTAGGCGATGGCGGCGGCACCGGAAGTCTCGTTCTTCTCCCCCCACTTCCGCTCTTTGCTCCGGGCTTGGGCTGCGTGGGGAAGGCTTTGCGATGCCGACTGGAGAGTTTGAGTGAGTCGGGTGTTGCGGAGGGGGGCACCGGGAGGCGGTTTGGGGTTCGGAGAGCACCATGAGGCGTGGGTGCGCCGAGGCCGCGGAGGCCGGACCTCGCTGACTCACCCGGAAACTGTCCCCGCAGTTCGAAGCCCAGCTGGGCCGACCAGGTGGAAGAGGAGGGAGAGGACGGTGAGTTGCACCCGGTCGCGCCGGGTCACCGCGGCCAGCCCCCAGCCCCGCCACCCTGCACCCCCCCGTCAACGGCCTGCTCCTGCCCCGCGCCATCGTCATGGGGGCCACCCTCTTGCCAACTCCGGTGGTTCACTGGCCAGTCCCTCTTCCTCCCTTGCTACTGCCCAGGTCCTCGCAACTGCTCTGCCACTCCGGGGAGGAGCTTGTAACAGCCTGTCTCCTGCCGCTGTACTAGCGCCTGGGTGGCTTTATGGCCTGCCCCTACCTTCATGCCAGGGATCCCCTACGTTTTGCCACTGCTTGAGGTTATTACAGCCACCCCTGTGTCCCCATGGGGCTGTCCCAGCGCCCTGCTTGGCCAGCCCTCTGCTTTTGGTACCGCCTTTCTTAGCTCCTGGTGTGAGTGTCACCCCAAAGTCCTTCCATCTCAGCTTGGGAGGCCCCCCCGCCCCCGCAGCTGACCTCTCCACACTCCCTCTGGCAGATAAATGTGTCACCAGCGAACTGCTCAAGGGGATCCCTCTGGCCACCGGCGACACCAGCCCAGAGCCTGAGCTACTCCCGGGAGGTGAGTGACGATTCCACTCCATCCCTAGGCTGCCTCTCTTCCCAGGCCTGTTCCTGCTTGTCCCCATTACCCAGGGCTCTGTTCCCCTCGTCTTTTCCCCTCTCCAGCTCCACTGCCGCCTCCCAAGGAGGTCATCACCGGGAACATAAAGACAGTGACCGAATACAAGGTAGATGAGGATGGCAAGAAGTTCAAGGTGAGGCTTGGGGCAGGGGGGAGTGCCCTTGTGGTTGGGGATGCTTAGACCAGGAGGGGCGGCGTGTGGTGGCTGGGTTGGTGAGGAAGATGCCCTGGTCCCAGGAGGCACAGGAAGCTCGACCCTCCCCTCTCCCATCCACAGATTGTCCGCACCTTCAGGATTGAGACCCGGAAGGCCTCAAAGGCTGTTGCAAGGAGGAAGGTGAGCCTGTCCATCCCTGTTTCGGGGGCTCCCCCAGGGCTGCCCCAGAGGACCTGGGAATCCTTGTTCCCAGGGCCTTTGTTTTCAGAGATGGCGTTTAACTGTTTGCACCTATTTTGTTGAAGCAGAACTGAGGCCTGGAGTATTTTCACTCTCTTGGGGTCCTGAAAAGTCCAGGGTGCCTGAGTGGGTGGGATTAGGTTCTTGAAGGGAATTTTTATTTGATTTTTGGTGGCTGGCCAGTATGGGGATTCGAACCCTTGACCGTAGTGTTATACATAACACCGTGTTCTAACTGACTGAGCTAACCGGCCAGCTTGGTGATGTTAGATTCTTATTCCCTTTGGCCTGTCCACCTGGAGGAACCCAGCCAAGCCTTCCCTTGAGGTCATCATAACAGCTCCCGTTTACCCAGGGCTGAGCGCTTCTGGAAGAAGCAATAGCAGTAGTGCCAGGCCCCACACCCACGCACTCTGCGGGAAGTGTTTTCTCATTCATCTGCATAGAAGCTCGGGTTGGTGGAAAGCCTCTATGGTCCCCATTTTGTAGGGGAGGGAGCTGAGCTTAGGTGGTCTGCCTCGCTCAAGGCCTCTCACTGGGTGACCCCTGCACGTCCCTGAGGTCCACCGACCTGCACAGGCCCCAGGAATGGTTGGTTGGTGCCCTTTCCCCCACTTAGCCTCCATTCCCTTGTCTGGAACATGGCTCTGAGAGCCGCCCCTGTCTCCTGGAGCTGGTGGGCAGCCAGGGCCTGGTGCGCACTCAGGAAATGGGAACTGTCACCGTTACGGTTATGGGGGGTGTTTGGGGAGGGTGGAAAATGGGGTTCAAGGCTCAGACCCTTCAGGGTTGGCGTTTGTAGGTCTGGGGTGCCCCAGTGTGGGCTCCTGATTCCTGACATGTCTTGCCTCCCTCCCTGAGCCCAGAACTGGAAGAAATTCGGCAACTCAGAGTTTGACCCCCCAGGGCCCAATGTGGCCACCACAACAGTCAGTGACGATGTCTCCATGACATTCATCACCAGCAAAGAGGTATGTGGGACAGTGGGGCAGCTTTGGTGTTCGGGGTGTTGATGGCTGGGGCGCAGCAGCCCCCCTTGAGCTGCACTGCCCGCCCCCCGCCAGGACCTGAACTGCCAGGAGGAGGAGGACCCAATGAACAAGCTCAAGGGCCAGAAGATCGTGTCCTGCCGCATCTGCAAGGGTGACCACTGGACCACCCGCTGCCCCTACAAGGACACGCTGGGGCCCATGCAGAAGGAGCTGGCCGAGCAGCTGGGCCTGTCCACCGGCGAGAAGGAGAAGCTGCCAGGAGGTGTGGGACCCAGGGTCACACTGGTGGGCCATTGCGGGGGGCTTGTGCACCCGTGGGAGAGTCCTCAGCTGTCACCTGCTGTCTGTGGCTGTCAGCTCCCACAGTACAGCATCAGCACCGCCAGGCTGTGGTGGCCCGTGTTTGTCCCTGTCACCCTTGTTGGGGGTTGTGCTCCTGTGTTCTTAAACGTGTACATGCCTGCATGTGTAACTACACCACGTATGGTTGAGGACGGTTGTGCCCCTGTATGTGTGGCTTACCAGCTGTGATTCTGCTGGTGACTCTGTGTGATGGTTCCTGACTTGGGTGGGCTGTGTCTGTCTGCCCCAGGATGCTGACGCTGGCTGTGTGTGTGTCTGCATGATGCACATGACTGCAGTCTGTGTCTCTTGCATGATTTGCTGGTGGCAAGTTTGAGTCTGGGCAGCTCTGCTGTGGCTTGCATGCACAGTGCACTTGTCACCTGGGAGCTGTCCCCACCCATAGGTCACATTACTGCTGTCCCTGTCTATTGTGAGGCTGACGCACCTCTAGCTCTTGGCACCTGTGACCACATTCACCCCTGTGGGTTTTCACTCTGCCAGTGTACCCAGCAGGATGCTTGAGTGCTATTGGCTTCTTGGATCTGACCTTGGTGTCACTGTCGCCACCGAGGCTCTGGCTCTCAAAGGGACCAACAGGATGCCTGTGGCTTGGCAGACATTGCCAGAGCTGGGCCCTGGGGCCCGTCTCTCCCTCCGTCTGCCCCAGGACCAGGCTAAACTTGACTGTGCTTTTGGTTTCCAGAGCTGGAGCCTGTGCAGGCCACCCAGAACAAGACAGGGAAGTATGTGCCACCGAGCCTGCGTGACGGGGCCAGCCGCCGCGGGGAGTCCATGCAGCCCAACCGAAGAGGTGAGGGGTGCTCTGCTGCGGGGCTGGCAGGTGGACACCTCCCAGCACCCTGTAATTACCCCTGGAGCATGTGCATTGGGGTTGGGTGGGGCCTCCTCTTCAAGGCCACCTTGCCTCACCTGCACAGCCGACGACAATGCCACCATCCGCGTCACCAACCTGTCAGAGGACACGCGTGAGACCGACCTGCAGGAGCTCTTCCGGCCCTTTGGCTCCATCTCCCGCATCTACCTGGCTAAGGACAAAACCACTGGCCAGTCGAAGGTGGGTGGGTGGCCACCGGGGTGGGCTGGCTTGTCTGTACCAACTTGGGCCCCCTGACCTTGTCCCCACTTCCTCCCCCAGGGCTTTGCCTTTATAAGCTTCCACCGCCGAGAGGACGCCGCACGCGCCATCGCCGGGGTGTCCGGCTTCGGCTATGACCACCTCATCCTTAACGTTGAGTGGGCCAAGTAAGACCCCTGCCCCGAGCCCGGGTCCCTCTTCCACCCCTGCCTCGTCACAGCATCATAGCTGACACTTGGGCCGACTGTGGGCCCCGTGCTGATTTAATAGTCCCCAAGCCTGTTTTGAGGTGACGGTCCTTTGTTATCCTTTTCAAAAACCTTACAGGCGGGCCAACAGGCACCAGGTGTCAGCTGCTGTGCTGGTGCACACTGCCAGTCCCCAGCAGGGCCTGGCTGGTCACTGCCGATCAGGCCCTGTCTGTGCTGTGGTCACCACGCTGCCTCGTCCTCCTCCACCCCACTGGGGCCCCACGTGTGTGTGGGGGTCTTGGGATGTCCTTTGGAGTCTGAAGCCCTCCACACTTGCCATCCTCGCCACCTCCTCTCTCTCTCTTTCTCTAGGCCATCAACCAACTAAGCCATCTGCTGCCATTGCTCGGCCCCAGGACCCTCGGCGATAGGGGGTGTCCAGGGCAATAAAGAGGCTCAAAATCACCCCATGCGTGTCCTGTTTATTCTCATGGGCTTCACACCATATGGTTGTGAGGCCAGCCCCGTCCCCTTCCGCCCAGGCACAGGTGTGCTCCCTGGCCTGGTGGGGACCTCAGGGTCAGTGCTGTGGGTGGGAAATGCTTCTGGTTGCTCCAGCCCTGGCTCTCGTTAGTCCCTTGCCGGCCATGACTGCAGGCTTTTGGGGGAGGAAGTGGCACCTCGGGGTTGGGGCCTGCTGTGTTCCAGGTTCTCATTCTGCTGCAAGTCCCAGCACCTTGTGAGAAGGCTCTGGATAGGCCAGGTCACGAGGTCAGCTCAGGGGACTGGGGCTCTGAGGTTTTAGGGGTGGCTTTGACATCTAGGGGCATGGCTTGGCCAAAGGTCTCGGTGTCCCCTGGATCCCGGCACCCCCTCCAGCGAGGGCAGCATTGGCAGCAGCAGCCCAGGCTGGGTGCCACGGCCATGTAGAGCAGTGGGTGGAGGCAGATGGCCAGGGGCATGAGGCCTCGCATCACCTGGTGGCCCACATATAAGCCCAGCTCCAGGGCCTCCTGGGCCTGGGTCTCATTCGCAAAGCCCGGGCAGAGAGCCCTCCAGCGCTGCCGAGCATGCACGTTCAGCACCCGTGTGACATGGTAGGGCACGTAGGAGCTGGCATATAGGGCTGCACCGCTGGCCACCAGCAGCACCACATGCAGCTTCTCAGCCGCCCTCATTCCGGGGCTGCGCAGCACGGCACGCACGAGGGCGCAGTAGGCGGCCAGCGTGAGCAGCAGTGGCAGGCCACAGCCCAGTCCTGCCAGTGCCAGGCTGTAGGTTCGGTAGGCCTCGAGGTGGCTGTCCCCTGCAGTTCCCACGCACTTGATGCTGCCTGTGCCCACCTCCTGCTTCAGGTGGGAGAAGCCGAGCATGGGTGCGGCCAGCAGGGTTGCCAGGGCCCAGCCAGCAGCGCTCACGGCCCAGGCATGCTTGGGCTGCAGGTGGCTGCGGGTGAAGAAGGGGTGCACGATGCCCACGTAGCGGTTGAGGCTGATGCAGGTGATGAAGATAATGCTGCCTTGCAGGTTGCAGACGAACAGGAAGTGCTCCAGGCGGCACAGGGCTTCCCCATAGCGCCAGTTTTTTGGGGGGTAGAAATAGGCCACCAGTGGGGGCAGTGTCAGGGCATAGAGCAGGTTGCTGACTGCCAGCTGGGCTGAGAAGACCACGGCTGGGTACCACGGGCGCTGCTCCCGGGTGATGAAGCGGTACAGGGCCAGGCCGTTGCCGGTCACGGCCACCAAGAAGTCAGCCAGCAGCATGGGCCACAGGAAGCCCTCCTGGAAGCTGTTGAGGATACGGTCAGCAGCTGCCGAGAAGTTGGCTGGGCAGGGTTTGGCACCTATGGGCAGAGGATGTCGCTTGCTGAGCCCTGTCCTTCCTCAATGTGTCTCTTGCTGCCCTCAGAGCCCACGGCTGCAGCAACACCGGTCCCTCTACATGAGTCCTTTGCGTGCAGTTCTGCTGAGTTCCCAGTGGGTCCTACACCCTGAGAACCTGCTGGGTTGAGCCGGGGGGTCACTGCTCTTGAGGGATGCATGTAACCCAGCACTGACTGCCCAGAGGTGCTGGGCCTGGGGTGGAAAAGCTGAAGCCAAAGGGAGTCCCCACCCCACTGCAGTCCTCCTCAAAACCCAATCCAATAACAAGTCCTGCCGGCTTCACTTCAGATCTGTCACCCCCTCCACTCTACCTGGGTCCAGCCCCCACTGTCTCCCACCTGGACCGGCCAGCGCCTCTGCCCTGGTCACCTGCTCCCGCCTTTGCCTTGAGTCTATTCTCCCCACAGCCACCAGAGGTCGCCATGAGCGCTTGAACCAGGTTCGGACACTGGGCTCGCAGGCCTCCAAGCGCCCACCTCGGGAGAGCCAGTGCTATCTCACAAGGCCCCCCAGGAGCCCTCCCTCAACCCATGCTCCCCAACACTCCCTGCAGCCACCATCCCTGGCCTCCTGGCCACTCCTTAAGGCACGTCCTACAGCAGGGCCTTTGCTCTAACTGTTTCTTTTGCCTGAGTCACCGGCCACGTGTCCTAGAGGCTCCCTACCTCACCTCCTCCAGACTCTGGTCTTGCTGAGGAAGGCCCACTCTGACCACCTTAACGATGCGACCGCATCCCATGGTCTCTCCAGTCCCCCTTCCCTGCTCAATTTTCCACAGCCTGTATCTTCATGAGAACATCTCTTCCAGGAGGGTGGGAGCGTTCCTTTCCTGACCACTAGTGGCTTCCCAGTCCCCACAACAGTGCTGGGAGACAACATGGGGGAGCTTGTGCTCTGGGGTTGGTGTCCTCTCGCACACTCCACCCGCAACCTAAGTTTGGAAATCTGAAAAATGGCCTGCTCCCTATCCAGCAGGAGGGCCACTGGCTCTTGGTGACCTGCACCGCCCACCCCCCAACACCAGACTGCTCTGGAAGTCTGTTCAGACGCAGGTTTTCATCTACCTCCCCTCCGCCTACTGGGTATCAGCCAACACCACCGCCACTGCGCAGGGCTGAGCTGGGGGAGCCAGGCCCCTGGATGTGTCCCCACCTCAACCGACCCAGCACCTGCTCCTAACCTGACATGGTGGCCGCCATTGCCCAAGCTCAGCCTCAGTGTGCAGCCCACGTTGTGCCGAGGAGGCCCCTCCCCGAGCCACCAACAGCACAGCTGGTTTCACCCCGGCTGGCAGCATCAATCCCAGCCTGCAGCACGGGTTGGGCGCCCACCTCACTTCCACCCCGGCTTCCTTCCTCATTGCACCCACCCTGTCTGTGGGCGGGACCCATGGGGGTTGGGGGAGCTGAGATGTACAGACCAAGAACATCCGGGCCTGTTGCCCTGGCCTGTAAAACGATTCCACTGTGACCCAGGCTGAGGGACGGCACCCAGACTTGGGGTGGAAACCAGGTCAGACTTCCGGATGCTGCTGACTCATACCGAAAGCAGACTCAGACTCAAGAGAAGTTCAGGCATTTATTGGAGTGGGGGGACTGAGAACATCCGCTCCTTTATGAAAGGAAACCGAGGGCACACCTGGAGTCCCAGGTGAGAGCCCAGGACAGCATCTCTCGGGCCCCAATCTGGGGCATTTCATCCACGGCTCAGGCCTGGGCTCAAGCCACTCTCTTCGGTTGCTGTGGCCGGCCTCGCCTGTGGTCCCGGGCAGCCCCTCTGAGCCCTGGCTTGGCCTGGTTTCCCCAGGGCCTGCCCTTGGACTTTGGAGGCTTCCAGTCACCCCCTCGACCTCTGCTGTGGTCTGGCCTCTGTTCCGTTGGCTTCCAATCCTTTACCTGCTGCTTCTTGCCTGGACGCCCGGTAAGCCGTGTCCGCTTGGCTGTCCTGGGGAACATGTCTGTGGGGAGAGACTGTGTCAGGGTCCCACAGAACAAAGACAGGCCCTGGGCACCCAGCCACACCAAGCCTGCCACGAACCCTCATCAGGCTCCGCGCCCACTGCCTGGCGGAAATACTCGGCCTCATCCTCCTCCTCCTGCCAGCCAGCTCCTTCTGCCTCTGGGGGGGGCCCGGGGTCCTCAGCGTCACTGTCCCCGTCAGCCCGTGCCCTCTTCATGCCTGCCAGGCTCTTCTTCCTGGAAGGGAGGAGCCAGTCAGGGTGGCAGCCTGCAGCGGGGACCCCGCCTGCCCTCCCACCGGCCAGCCGCTGCTGACTTGTGGGCCTCCCGCTGCTCCCGCTTGCGCTGGATATTCTGGGCCTGCTGGTCCTGCCTCTGGGCCTTGAGCTGCAGCTTCTCCTCCTTGGCTGCCAGGATGGCCTGGAGCTCCTCCTCTGTCTTGTGCACTGAGAGGAGACACATAGTTCGCTGAGACCCAGGCATGCCCCGCTTCGCCAGCCTCAGAACCCCGCCCCCCACACCCTGCCAGCCTCACCGAAGCTGTGGAACAGCACATTGCCCTCCCCGACACCCTCCTGGATCTTGATGAGCTGCAGTGTCATCCGAGGACCAATCTGGGAGGACATGCAGGAAGGGTGAGTCCTTCATTGGTGCTAGGGACTGCCTGAGCAAGGCGCCCCACCACCGGGCCTCACCTCGGTGAGGCGGACTGCACTCTGCTGGGCCCGCATGTTGCCGCGCCCCGCAATGGCCTGGGGCAGCTCCGTGATGTTGTGCTCGCCGTCAGGCTCAGCCTCGCTCTCTGACAGCCCTGCGCCCCTGTGCAGAGAAATGTGGGGCTCAGCAGGGGATCCCAGGCTCCCAGGACAGTTCTAGGGTCCCCTGGATTGTAGTGATCTCCCACCCTATGCCCTCCTCACGTGGCCAGCAGCTCACTGATGTCCTGCAGGCGGCTCATGTTGGGGAACTTCTCCTGAAGAAGCTTCTTCATCCCACGACTGGCACCCACAGGAACGACTTTGATGCTACTGCATGGACCGGGGAGGGGTAGGGGGTCATTAGAGGTCATGAGCTCAGAGGTCAGCTGTACACCCCTCCCTTCCCACAGTGTGTCAGGGCGTTTACTTTGAGACTGAGCAGTCACAGAGTCTCAGCAGCAATATGGCCATCAGCCACACTAGGGGATACCCAGTCTGCACACACCCCCATTGGAACACTCACTAGTGGCGGAAATCCAGCTCCTGAGAGTCAGGGTTGTAGTTGATGAGAAGGCAGCGCTTGATGGTGTTCAGATTTACCTGATAGGAGAGGAAGAGCAGGGACATGAGCTGCGCATGGCCTATGTGCTCCAGCAATCACACGGCAAGTTTGGGGGGGGGGGCTGTCACTGCTAATACCATGGAGGCTGGGAGGGCTGCAAGCAGCATCCACGGACTGCCTGGGGCCATGGCTAGAATCCCAGTTCTAGGACCAGCGGAGGCCACCTCCTCAGACTCCCCAATGACTGGCATCTTATCATAGTAAGCCTAATTTGACAACAACTAGTGCTAGGAATTGGGAGCCGAGGCTCTGAAGATGACAGATTTAAAAAGTTCAGTCCTGTCCCCTTGAATCTAACTTCAGACTAGCAACTTCATCTATCAGCTTCAGTTTCCCTCTCTGTAAAACAGAGCCACAACAACAGATGCTACATTGCCCAGGCTCTGCCAGATGAGGAAGCAACTCACAGGAGTGTGACAGAGGGTGGGGACAGCATTCTGGACACTCTTGCCCAGCGACACGGAACACAACTGGGATTTCACCCTCGGACACAGCAGACCCTGGAGCCTCAGAGCTGAGAGGCAAGGACTGAGTGATCGATCCAAGGGCCTGTGGTACCTGCTGCCCGCCCCCTCCACCACACCAGGCCTGGCCCACCTTGTGCACGTTGATGGAGGGAAACAGGTTCTGGAACATGGTGGCCATGAGCTTGACATGCATGCCATGGTGGCCGAAGCTGTTGAGCACCAGGAGGGGCGGGTGGGCAAACTGCTGTTCGTGCATGCGGTGCCGGCGCAGCGAGGAAACCACATCACGCACCAGCGTGTACTGCAAGGCAGAGCGAGGAGTGGGTGACCACCAACCACACGTGGCTGGGGCCATCCCCAAGCCCAGCTCTTACCCCACACGGCCCTCCAACCATTTCCACCCCTCACCTTCTTGATCTGGAAGGTCAAAGTGGGGCCTCCTGGGAGACGCATCAGCTTCTGTGGAAGAAAGGATCAGCAAGGGTGGAGGTGTCCAGCCAGGGAGCAGGGGGAGTGGGAACCTTCGCCCCATCTCTTCAGAGCGTTTACTTTGAAGCCAGAATCATGGCAGCTCAGAGGCACATGGGTTCATCATGAGAGATGAGGGGAAGAGAGAGTCTGAGGGGAGATGAGGGCTCTGGGTGACTACTCACAAAGTAGACATTGGTGTCTGTTTTGCTTAAGATCAGGAAGTGTGTGACCCCAAGGGGCCCAGCCACTGCCACACAATCCTTCAACGAATTCTTCTTTCGAACCTGGAAATTACAAAAATAAAAAGGAATGAATGTAGATATCTCTTATGTAGCAAAGACTACAAGGGTACTTAAACGAGTTCATGGGAGGGGCTGGCCGGTTAGCTCAGTTGGTTAGAGCGTGGTGCTGACGACCAGCCAGCCACCCAAAAAAAAAAAAAGGTCATGGAAAGATTCATATTATCTAATTCTATTGCTGCACAAACTTTTTGAAGTATCTTTGTATAAGCTTAAGCTGACGATCCTGTTATGCTCTTTCTTGCATCTGACTTTGCCAAAAGTCCAGGTCAGCGGAATGATCCTGGTCTCTAGAGCCAATCAGACTTGAATTCCAGCACCATCTCTGACCTTTGCTTACTGTGCACCTCCCCATCTGAGCGAACAGAGGCCCAAAGAGTCTAAGTAACTTGCTCCAGGCCTTAGAGAGAAGCCAAGTTTCCAATCAGCTTTGCTGTCTCTAGATTCCATTTTTTTTTTCTTTTTTCTTTTTTTAAAGATGACCGGTAAGAGGATCTTAACCCTGGACTTGGTGTTGTCAGCACCACGATCTCCCAAGTGAGCCACGGGCCGGCCCTCAGATTCCAGTCTTAAGCGTCAGGCTTAGGCACCTAATTCAGCCCCAAACTGGGTGAGCTCATTTGCGCGCCCCCGCTGCAACCCCACAAGGCCTTGAGCAGCAGAGACGCCTGTCCCCACGTGGGCCCTTTTGTCCAGCCGGAAAGCCTGAGACCTCCCGCAGTGTTCTAGAGGAAGCTGGCACTGCAGGTGCTTAGACGGTGTCCGGGGTGGGTGGAAGCGGGCTGGGTGCTGCACACCTGCAGGCGGCTGGCGGTGAGCGGCTCCATGACCCGACGGACGTCCAAGCTGAGCTGCCCAACGCTGCGACCCGCGCGGCCCCGCGTGAACACGAACGAGTGCGGCTGCGCGGCGTAGGCCTCGAGGTTGCGGAGCCGCGCTTGGGCGCGCGCGCGCTTCTGGTGCCGGGACTGCGGGGGGCGAGAGGCGAGCGGTGAGCGCCACGGCCTCCGTCGGGACGCCGTCCCTTACCCGCTCCCCGGCCGCGGTGCCTTACCCGCCCCGACTGCCCCATGCTGCCTTCTCCTCCACGAGGCCACCTCTGCCGGAAGTTTCTCCCGCCTCTTCCGGCGCTGCGCGGCTCACTTCCGGCGCCTGGGAGGTGTCACGGGGAGGTTGTTGAACGGCGAGATGAGGCCATCAGACGAGCATGCGCACCAGGTGGCCTCGGAGAGCGGGGAGAGAAATCACTGGAGGCGTTGCTATGGAGACACTGGGTGCCTGTTTCTACGGAAACCAGGGCGTGGCTTCGCGACTCGCTGCTTCGGAGAAAGCGATCGGAGGGTTCGAATCCCGCCTCTGCCCATTTCCTCCTGCTGGGCGATTTTAATAACCACTCTCTTCATTCCGAGGCTCTTAAAGTATCCCAAAGTGAGGATGAGAGTGTCCCCCGACTCGCGAGTTAAGACAGAGAACGTACGCACAGTGCTTGGCACACCGGCGCCAGGCCCTTGGGGAGCAGCAAGGAAAGGGAGTGGCGCCCGCGGCAGATACCCATGTCCACCCTCCAGCTCCTGCGCACGGGCTGAGGGATGGAAACTCCACCTCACCTTCTGGAAACTCATGGCAAGGCGGGCGCTGGGTGAATAACTCACCCCCTCCCCCTTTCCCCTCAAGCTCCAGTTTTGGCCTCAGGCCTCTGGCTTCTTCCCCAAAACCTTGCGGTGGGGGAGAGACGCCCCCGCCCCGGGCTGAACATCTGCCGCCCCCCCAGCTCGCCCCCTCCCCCG